TTATCAACCACAGAAGCAGAATACATAGCAGTTACTGAAGCCTGTAAGGAAACTTTATGGATGAAAAAGTTTCTACAGGAATTGGGCTTGAAACAGGAAGTATATACTGTTTACTGTGACAGTCAGAGCGCCATTCACCTCTCCAAGAATTCAACATACCATTCTAGATCCAAGCATATTGATGTGAGATATCACTGGATTCGTGATGTGCTTGAGATGAAAGAATTACAGTTGGAAAAAGTACATACCAGTGAGAATGGTTCAGATATGTTGACAAAGTCTTTGCCTATGGAGAAGCTTGAAGCATGTAGGCGAAGAGCGGGCTTGGTACAGCCCACCATATGAGCTGGAGGGGGAGAATTGTTGGGTCCAGCCCATATGTGGGCTTGGACAAATTGGGCCTATTGAGCCCAAATCACTAATTAAGGTGAAGTAAGGCAAATTAGGGCATGCAGGAAAAATGGAGAGCAGGGTGCAGCGTGCAGTGTGCAGCGTACGTGCACAGTGAACAGCGACGACGTGCAGAGAGAAAAGAGGAGAGAGAAAGTAAGGTTTCTGAGTTTTCTGCTTGACGATCGGTGGCCAAACATTGTCAGTTTCGGCCCAAATTTTATGTGGAGAATCCTTGTAGCAAACTCTACAATCCTAACGGTGTTGATCTGCGGTTTACCCTCTCTAAGGTACTTTCCTGCGATATCCACTCTGTGAGACCTAGAATTCTCTTTGGAGGAGATTCACCTATGTGATGAAGATATGGTATTCTTGAGCCAAGATCTATGTTCTTGATGTTATTCTGATCCTCTAGTTATTCTAGAGAAGACCTACTGTAAACCTGTTATCATCATTATTGATAGTGGAAGTTTGAGGTGGACTACGGTCCCGTGGTTTTTCCCACATTGGGTTTTTCACGTTAAAAAGATTTGGTCTCACTGTGTGATTGATTTATTGCTTTATTGTTTATGCTGTGCTGATTGATATTTTCGTTTGGATATCAAGTTGGTATTTTGATGAGGAACCTATTTTGATACACAAAGAGGGAAAGAATTATTCCGCATTAACAGGTTTCTTCCCAACATAATAAGCTCTGGAGAACAATCATTTATGCATGAGCAGTGGACACTTTGATGAGATGTAGAGACACCTGATCAAATTGTGTCCCTGTCAATAAACTTCAGGAGAGCTTTTTCTTCCTTTTATATGAATTTAGAAGATGTGGATCTTGCATACTTTCATCAATAGAACAATATAAACCGAGGAAACCGCAACAAAACCTTGTTATCACACCAAAAAAGAAACATTTTATAACAACTAATGAAAAATGTTGTAAAAAAGATGGTAAAGTAATTATGTCTAGAAGTGAGAAAAATGCCACATGAGACGCATGCCTTGATAGGAGATGATGAACCACAAAAGCGATTAGCCACAAAGTTACCAATGGTCATTACTGTAAAGAATGCACATTTAGTGAATAGGAAGAGAAACTATGGAATGAAACATTGTTTGGAAAGAACCAAGATACTGCAGATGATTAGGGAAAAGAAGGAATATAGAAATATAAGAAAAGTTACCTTAACAAATAGAAATATAGAAAAAGAAAAGAGTTCACCTGAGATGACAGGGGTGAGAATACCATCACCAATTGCCATACAAGTGCCAATGAGTACAAGAATAAGAAGAGCATTCTTTTTATAGGCATGCGACTCTAACCATCTCTTGACTGTTGCTGCGAGTGAGCTCTCATCATATGTATGACGACTATATGTTGTCAGTTGTTCATCAGTTCTATGTTGGTTAGGAATGGTGCTTACTCTTGCATGGCGGCAAAGCAGGGAATACAGAGCAAACGTGCCACCTGCATATAACAATGATGTATGTACTTCAAACTTCATTTTAATTGGAATATGTCAAAGGTCTCTGATGCAACTGTAGAGAGCAGAAACTTAGCTGGACTAAGATTTAATCATGGACACAATCAATTGACAGTACAATGGACACTCAGTAAAGAGAATACCTCGATGAGAACTCTTGCTCATCTATGTATGCAGCATCAATGTTATGTCTGAAATCAAAAACTGTTACCGGACAGTATTAACATGTTTGCTTCAATGTTCATTTACACACAGACTACAACCTGATTGGTATCCACATGAATACTACAAAGAATTTTCAATATTGTGCATGTAGCACTGAATGTAGCCATTTCAAGCATCTACTTTTTCAAGGAAGACGAATCCCATGTGCCTGAATTTTGCTTATTGCATGAAATTTTTCATCTTTTCATAGCTTTCCTTCAAACCAAAATGTCCATACTTTATGTGCATTATTTTTTTTATTAAACACATACTTCTGCTAGGAAGCCTGTTTTCACAGTTTCGAAAATAAAATGATTTTTGATATGCAATATACAGTAACAAGATTTTCCAAAGTAAAAATACATAGAGTTGTGCATATGGTATTAGATCATTCAACTTCATAACTAAAATTTTCAGAATGGTGGCTTACCCTGACCATTGTCATTTGCTCTCAGAACAACAAAAACATATTTAAGAAGTGGTATGAGTGTCAGCGAGTATATGATCAAAGAAAGAGCTCCGATTACATCTTCTGCATCTTCAACCCCATGAGGAAATGTATTATAGAACACATACAATGGTGATGTGCCCAAGTCTCCAAAGACAACACCAAGACTCTGAAAAGCAAGTCGCATAACCAAAATGGCTGAGGATTTCTGCAGAAAAGAAAAATCAGCACAATCGTTGATTTGCTTAGATGACTACATTATGAGCACGAACAGAAAGAGAAGTAGAGAGAAAGAATGCCAAAGAGAAGAGTGAGATTAGAAAGAAGAGTAAGAGATTAAAAGAGAGAAGATGGAATTCTTTTTTATTCAAATTCTGAACTGTTCCATCCGTTGACAAACTCCACTATTTATAAGGGTTTAAAAGTCTTTAGTATAATCAACGAAGACAATGATTTCCAGGAGTAACCAACCTCCTAGACTTCCTCCTTTGACTTATATGGAACTTGTATGCCTTTTGAAATCTAAAATATGACCTTTGAGAGACCTAAATAGCCTTAAAAATTTATCATATGAGAAGAAAAAAAGTGCAATTAATACAAAAATAGAGTCCAAAGATTAATACCTAGAAAGACCGAAAGGACTCGTTCATTTTTTCACACAACTCTCAAGAGTTTTTAAGCTAGCTAATTGATGCAATTTTGCTGATTTCTTTGCCTAGAATAAACTTTTCTAAAATCCTTCCTAAACATAGGTGGTTCTCCATCAATTAGCTTAAACAGATGGAGGAAAAGCTTAATCCAAAAGAAGTGCTCACTTCCTGCTGATTCCATGATTGTCAATATTTCTATTTTCTGTTGCATATACTGAAAGAACAAGCAGCTCTAAAATCCAAAGACCAGTTTTTCCCCAAAAGAAAATGAAAATGAGAACCTTTTCTCAAAAAGATTGAAAAGGCAAACAGATCAGTAAATCCTCACAATGAAAAGTTGGTAGTTGCCAAATTACCCAGATCAGTTTAAAGTACCTGCGTTTTACTTCACATGAATTCGACATGAAGTATGAATAAAAGATTAAGACTAAAACCTATCAGTTATTATAAACCTCGATCAAGATGTACTAAAATTTAATGCAAAAAGGTGGAAATGATTCCCTAGAAAATGCACATTATTTCGGAAGTGTAATATTCTACAAGGAAAACCAATGCAAAACGACGATAGATTATCAATATGATTGAAACTTTTATCTTTCTTATCCCGTTACAGAAAGTACAAAAGAAAGAACAACAAAGGAGTATAAAACCTTTGCATAAATCACAATTGAGTCCTCAGAGCAATCGAATCACACCTTTTCTCTGTACATACTTCTCAATCTGCCAGCCTCTTCATCCATGGGTTGATCAAGATTCTGGTCCAGTTCCCACATACTTCCCCTGTTCGTCCCCTCATTTACGGGTCCGGACGCCATGAGACACCACCAAGTTCAGCAAACCTGTTCACTTTGACTGTGACCCCAACCAATATCGAGGATCTCAATCTTGGATCCGAGCGAAAAGAAGATGCCACAAACGAACACAAGAATCAAACCTAGATAACGAGACAGCTCAAACTCGAGATGCCCAGCACCCGGACCAACAGAGAGAGCTTCCCGTTGGACACCGAGATTATAACCCTTGAGATGAAACCTCTAGAGCTCGAGGTCGTTCAACTTGACAGAGACAACGAAACCAGCGGCAGAGACACCTGTTGAGCGATCGACCGAGGGAAAGGCGGCGCCCTGCGGAACTCGACGACCCCAGGCGAGGGTTTGGGATCGGAGGGAGGACACGCAGGATGGAATTCCCTTGCCGTTTCTCGGCCGTCGGGTTTACAGATTGCAAAGAGAGAGAGAGAGAGAGAGAGGTGCTTTTTGGGTTCCACAACCTCTACATGCTGTCGGATTCCCATTCCCTTCGAAGAGATCAAGTCGCATTCTACTTCTTGCCATTCCTACTCACCTGTGAGATAGTCTCGGTTCGCAAGTGAGACCAACGCACGCGATTTACGTACACCGGTCCCGACGTACTTCTCTGTTCCACGGCGAATACGCTGGCCGACCAAGAACACGTGCCCGGGTCCCACCAGCTAACCGAAGTCGCAGTGTACGGAAACCACGTGCCGCGTGCGGACTGCAGCGGTTGGGAGTTCGCTGTCGCACAGTCCATACTTGCACTCTTCGCGCGTCTTGGCATTGGGGCAGTGCATCATCTATCATTAAGATCATCATTCGCAGCCGCCGCGTGTCCAAGAATCGTAAACGTGGCCTGCCATGGTCTCCATGACAGCTCACAGCAGTCGTCGAAAAGGACATATCGTTTAGGATACTTATCATCTGTGGGTGAGTCGAAGGATATCGAGATAAATCGCATTCGCCTTCTCTCACCCACCTACGTCATATTTTATTTGGTCATACATTTTGAAGTAAAAATAATAGATCTATTCACTTATCTTCAAAATAGCATACAAAAATTAATGAATTATACGTAGCATGCATGCAACGGGCTTCACAAATTTATTTGTGTGTCTTAATAAATATTCTCGATTGCAATCATTTCATAGGGTTTATTAGGTAGAGTCAATTTTGATGTTAATGTAATCAATAATATATATTCCTTAATATGTAGGAATGTGACGCCAAGCTGCAGCAGATGAGATCTGATCTGATAAGACTGTCCAAGGATCACAAATTTCCCGCTTTAAAATGGTGTTGGATCCCACCTAAATTCAGGACCACATGATTCAATATTTTGGGTGAAACTATAACTTGTCTTGGGGAAAATATCACTAACGTCTTTTGCAACATGACGTGGTCATGATCCATATGTGCGGAGTTGTTCAAAGTAAAGATCGTCTTCTCCTAAGTTGTCACTTGCACAAAGATCAAAGTTGGGATAAACTTTCCGAACTGATTCCTTCGATGCTTAAATTGGTACAAAGGTCATTTCCTTTTTCTCTGAGTCCCCTTTATCCAGAATTGATAGTGTATTTTTATACATGATCCTGAAGAGACGAAATATCCTATAAAAATTATGCAGAGAGGATGATTTATAATCCATCCGAGTCGTCCTGGATTCTCGAAAATATTTTCGTGAATATTCTATATAGGAGACAGTTTGTAACTGTCTTAAGTTTTCCTATGAATTTTCGAAAATATTTCTGTAGATATTATGTAAATGAGGTAGTTTAGTAACAACTGTCCCCTAAAATTTTAAGAATATTCTTAGGAATATTCTATAAGAGAAATAGTTTGATAATCGATTCGAGTTGTCCCTACATTTTCAAAAATATTTCTATAAACATTTCATAAAAAAAATAATTCGATAATTGATCCAAGCAATCTCTTCATTTTCAATGTATATTTCCTGTCAACTTGAAAACTATACTGTGACATGATATGCCACCAAAAATTTCTTCCGTTGACCGGGACATGAGATTGATGCCAAAAGTTTGATCGGGAAGGCCGGTCCTTGTTGTAGCTTAATTTGCTACGTACTACGAGGAGGTGGGTCAAAGATCAAGTGGAAACACATGGATTTGTAATTAGCTTGTGGAGAGCCCCTAATTCTTACTATGTCTCGCTGATGATGATGCGATCCAGCAAAGAGTCCCGAGTACCTGTTTTAATCCCTGTCTCTTTTTCTTTGATTAATAGTTATATGGATGTTCTTAACATTTTATTTTATTCAACAAGTTTTACTTTTTACAGCCATCATTGCATATTCTTCTGCTAACTTTGTTCTGACAGTGAAATTTTTCCTGCCAATTTCTTCCTCAGGTCTTTGTTATTTCTGTTGATTTTTCTTTCTTTTTTTTCTTTCCTTTCAGTCTTTTTTTTTTTTTGTCTCCAAGACTTCGATTCGGTAGTAAAGAAGACAACGACAGAAAAAAAAAAAAAAAAAAAGATAGATGTTCATATCCTTGAAAAAATTAATTCAAATAGTTAAAATTAAATAAAATAAAAGATCAAAATTTAGATTAAGATAAAAAGATTTATGAGATATGGTATATTTTTTTATTACTTTAAAAAACTTATACTTTGTCTTTTGAATAATATAAATAAGTACTTTCGATGAATTCAAATCATCGTAGATGGGAAGTATCCCTTGTTCCTTTTACTATTTTCTTCTCTTCTCTCTAAAGTTACAGGAAAGTTAACAAATATGACATTAAAGCCTGGTTCTAAGACACCCAACAAGAGTACATCGATTAAGATAGAAGAAAAGATTAGTAGATCCAGAAAAAAAAAAAAAACAAATAAAAAGATGACAAATATTGGGGTAAGCATTTCTAATCAATTTCTTTCTATTTTCGAAGATGAAAATTAGAGTCGTTAAAATGAGAACTCTATTTATTTCATAAGGATTATGGAACCTAATAAAAAATAATTTTATTGAATATGATCTACGGGATCATAATATTATTGAAGATAAAAAAGATCAAATAAATGAAAATATGCATAAAGCTGTAAGTGCCCTCTATATGCTACAATAAGTAATAGATGAGTCTATATTTTTCTGAATCATGATGGTATTAATATCAATAGAAGCCTAAAAAATATTAAAATATATGTATGGAGGCATAGACAAGGTGAAAATTTTAAAACTTCAAATTCTTCGATGTGAATTCGAAACTCTTATGATGAAATATTTTAAATCTATCGCTAGTTTTTTTTTCTCAAATATCTTTTGCATTGTGAACCAAATGAGATCTTATAGTGAAAATAAAAAAGATCAAATTGTAGTAGACAAAGTTTTATGGAATTTATCTTCAAAATTTGATATAATTTCTAATGTTATAGAAGAAGATAAATATTCATGTATACTATATGTTAATGAATTAATGGTCTTGTTTTTAGTTCATGAAAAAAAAATTGAATAGATCTTCAGATAAAACTTTATAATATACTCATCAAATGAAAATAGATTGTACCAAAAGAAAATTTTAAAAGCCAAATCTCAAGGGAGGGATCAAAATATAGAGGTCGTGGATAATCTAGTGCTTGAGGCAGATGATAAGGCCAATCAAATGAGGGTCAGAAGAACTCTAATGAAGGTAATAAAAAACCTATCAATATTATTTAAAAAAGATAAATTGAAAAATATTATTGGTACAAAAATAAAAATATAAATATTCCTCTCTGCTCTCATTGTAAAAAATATGGTCATCTTAAAAAAGATTGTTGGAATAAAAATCAAGCAATTTTTTATAAAAAAAATAATAGTAAAAACAAAGGATAAAGAAAATATTTTCTTTATAGCATCTAATAAAGAATATTTTAGATATGTTTGGTTTTGGGGTAATGGATGCAATAATCATATGATAGAAGATAAAGTTTATTTCAAAAACTTAATGATTTAATTAGATCTATAGTACTATAGTACAGATGAAAAATGATAGTAAGGTTCAAATGAAAGAAAAAGAAACAATTGTTGTGAATATCAAATCTAGTAAAAAAATTATTAATGATGTGATGTTATTCCTAGTTTAAAATAAAATTTCATTAGTATAGGGCAACGGATGAGAAAAAGATATTATATTATTTTTTATAATAAAAAATATTTAATTTATTATAAGAAAATAGAAGAATTGATAGCAACTATCAGGATGACAAAAAAAAAGTATTTCTCTTATTATTTTTGGATTTTTCCTTACATGCATTTATTGTTATTATTATTGATGAATTGACATTATGGCATAAAAGCTATGATTATTTGATTTTTTTGGATCTATGCAAACTATTATTTGATCTATGCAAACTATTTCACATAACGACAATGAGATAAAATATCATGGCATAGGACATGGTAGTTGGGGAATTATAGCTAATGAGACACATGTATAGGAAAATGATGAGGCCCTAAACTTCGATGATAACAAGCTTGCAACTAAGAAGTCACAAAAACAGAAAAAATCAATATTATTTGAAGAGATAAAGGATAATAAGGAAGGTGCAACTAATGATCCAGAAGAAAAGTAAGAGGATAAGGAGATAACTCTAAAAGAATATAAAAAGATTAAGGAAAAAAAATGAATGATCTTGCTTGCAATGAAGTCTTGAGAAAAGAAAGGTCAAAATTAACAAGGAGTTGTAGTCTATGTAGTAACTATCTTTAAAAAAAAAAATGACTCTATTTTTTTAAGTTGGGTTTGATAAGGATTCAAGAAAAAAAAAAAAAAAAACATTGATCGTGATGAACGAAGCAAAAACTCATTGAGCATCAATGAGTTCCTAAAATCAATTAAAAAGTTCTTAGATACATTAAGAATTATGACATTTGTTATAAGCAGGTAAAATATTTTAAATTATATTATTATATTGATACTGATTAGGCTAGTTGTGTAGATGATAAAAAAGACACTTCAGGATTTGTGCTCAACCTTGGCTTAGGTATGATTTTATAGACAATAAAAAGACAAGAATATATTATTCTCTTAAGCTCTAAAATGGCATATGTTGTGATTATAAGTTTTACATGTTAAACAATTTGGTCTTGAAGAATTCTAATATATATTCAAGAAAAATAAGATGAACCAAATAAAATTACTTCGAAGAATTTGTCTTTCATGGGCACACCAAACATATCGAAGTTCTACATCGTTTCATTCATGAACTAATTGAGAAAGGAGAATTCAAATAGACTACTATAGTTTTGATGAAAGAAAATTTTTATTTTTTCTAAAGACAACTTTAAGTTACAACTATTTTGAATTAAGAGGGCATGATAAGGTTGATTCAAATAGTTAGAATTCGATGAAATAAAAGATAAAAATTAAGATTAAGATAAATAAATGAGAGTGAGAATATTTATTGGGATATGATGGATTTTTTTATTCTTTTAAAAACCTTATATTTTATCCTTTCACTAATATAAATAGTTCCTTCTGTTATCTTCTTTCACTTCTTTATAAAGTTCAACAGAAAGTCAACACTCCTTTCCTACTCAGCTCACCCAAACCACGCCTCGTTCTGCCCCTGTCTTAACTCCAATATCAACAAAAAATTAGAATTCAGCTGAAAACGGTGTTTGATGTTAGCCACCCAAACCATCCTCGCCAAGCTCCGCAAGCTGAAGATGGTGGAGGACGTCGTCTCTGGCAGCTGCAAGCATGTGATGCAGAACTATAGGAAGAACATGATTCACTTTCTTGGAACATGAAGCTATCAAAATTTGGACTCTTCACTGGAGCACACACCCAATCACGCAACACATGCAAGAGGAAGAGAGATTCCTGTGTTTTCGGGAAGCCCCGGCCCTTGCGTTTTAAATGTGAGTGCTATTTATGCAGTGTGCATGGAACTGCATGCAGCTGGAAGGAGGAAGAAATGATGGCGTGGTTGTTGAGGTGTTTGGTGGGAGATGGCGAGGGTGGCTGCTGCATGATTCAATGAAATGGCCACCTTCTGGAATGCAGAGCAGCAGAGGACATAAAACCCTAGGTTTAATTAACACCTTGGATGAAAACGTAACCCTAAGCTCTCTCTTCCACACCAAGGACACTCATCATCACATACATCACGACAAAGAGAATAGGAACTACTTTATGATTATATGAACTTTGTGAAAGTATCCGAACCCTAGAAGATGAGAGATGGTGAACAGACATGGATGAGGGTTGGGTTGCTTGAGGATACTGAGACTGATCTGGTGATTACCAAACAAACGAGATAGTTTAAGAACATAACTTATGATTGACACTTACATTTGTTACGGAACTTTAACATATGGTCTTGTAATTGGATGTAAGCATAACAAATAGACCCAAAGACAACAGGAAAACTCAACTGAGGTCAGTGAAAACACAGCAGAAAAACTCTAGGATTAATTCTGCCATTAAAGACAACATCAAGTACCTTCTTTAACATCGATATCTCTCGACGCACATAATTCATGCTTTGGGTCAGTGAAATGGGGCAGTATATATGAGGAAACCTAGTGGGTCACTTGCTACTAAAGAAGGAAGAGTGTTGGAGTGCTGAAGCGCCATCGTCCAAGACCGCTCCATGTGCTCATGCCCCTGAGAAACTTAGCCCGCCTACCTGCTTCCATCTCCTCCATTTTCCAGTGTAGGCAAATCCTTGGTTTGCTAGCACTTGCAAGAGTTTCCATATACAAGCTGAACAGAAGAGGAAGAGTTGCAAGGGGCAGCGCAGGTTGGGGCAGTTAGCTGTCCATATCACCAACCTTCTCTTTCATGCCCCCATTTGGAGGACAAGCGGAGAGGAGTTTGATTTTGATGAGGAATAACTATAAGCTCCGAAAACAATTGAGATGTTAGCATCCCTTCCTTCGATCTTAAGCAATGATCCAAAGTGGCAACTGCCTTGGAGAAAGTTGCATGCTTCATGCGTGTACTGGATAAGGATTTCTGACTCATCCTTTTCTCTCTCTTAAACACATGAATGCACTCACTGTCATCTAGCTGACCGGTTAGCATGCAGAACACTGTCTCGAAGACGTCTTAGTTTCATTGCCAAAAGTTACCAAGAATAGGCAGCCATTATTCATGCCAGCATTCTCTCTCTCTCTCTCTCTCTCTCTCTCTCTCTCTCTCTCTCTCTCTAACTCACTCATGTGCAGATAGATATTATAGTATTGTTCTTGTTGTGAGGTGTTAAGGGAAGGAAGAGAAAGTTATTAGGTAGAGCTTAGAGTCTTGTTTTTGTTAATATACAGCAAATTATAGGTTGTTTTTTAGTATTATTGGGTTCTTTGTTAACTGCAAGAGGCTATGCAACATAATGGCCTGACATTGCTCACTCTTTGTCCTCAGACTGCAAGCCAATATTAACAGGTAGAAAAATCAGTCTATTCCTTCATCTCTCTGTCTCTCTCTATACCACCTTGGCTCCAGAAAAAAGAAAGAAGTATCATTTGGATGCCTTTCATTTCTACTTACTGATGACAGTAAGAGTGTCTCCTAATCCCTTAGATAACCTGATCCTGTTTGACGAGACTATTCAATGCATCCAAGGCATATAAAAGGTCTTTCTAGTTCATTTAGTCACTTAACTCATTCAGACAAAAGCCGGTAGTTTCCCCTTTTCTCGCCAAGGGGAAGAAGAGTGGGAGAGAGAGAGAGAGAGTTCGACAGTACCGGTGGCGATGGGTCGTGGAAAGATAGAGATCAAGAAGATCGAGAACCCGACGAACCGCCAAGTAACCTTCTCCAAGAGGCGGGGAGGGCTGCTCAAGAAGGCCAATGAGCTTGCGGTCCTCTGTGATGCACAGGTGGGGGTCATCATCTTCTCCAGCAGTGGAAAGATGTTTGAGTACTGCAGTCCACATTCGAGGTTTGCCTGTTCATAGCTCCTTTGACTCTTTTTAGCAGATTCACAACAATTTCTCGTTGTCATATCATATTCTTTTGGTGTCCCTCCATCTACATTTCGTAATATAGCTGGTTTAATTCTGCTCTCATGCGGATTAGGTTTTGTTCTTCTTCTTTTTCGTTTCTTTTTTCCCTGCTAATGGATAATCTTATGAGCTTCCATTTTGCTCACCAAAATAAATGATCTATTCGATTATACAATGAATGTCCATTCCCTTGATAAGAAATTTGCAATGATCATTTATGGCATGGCAGATCTGATGAATACTATTCTGCCTTTGTTATTAGTTGTTGCCAGCTATACCACTGTGGTGAATTCTTCATGTTTGACTTGTCTTATTGCATTAAGATACACCTATGCATATGAATATGATCAGCAACCATGTGATGCGAGGTGCATTCTCTGTGGCTTATGATCATGAACCCTAATTTAAGAGAAACCTATATGTGAGTAGAAGCTTAAGAAGTTGATGTCGGGCGAAATAATCTACAAATTTATCCTGTAAATATTCACTTTTAACTCCAACACATCATATCTACTATCCATATTTACATCGGAGAACAACATCAGAAGAACTCTTTCTACAATTCATCAAAATGACCATCTCCGCAAGGAGCTAAAGAGATCTAGCAGCTTAATATTTTCGCGGCTCAAGTTCTTTGAAGAACATATTCTTTTTACTATCAGTTAATTTGTGCTGCAGTATGAGGCAAATCATGGATAGCTACCAGAGAGTCACAAACACTCACTTTGAGGAGATTAATACTCATCAGGTACAAATGACATTTAATTAACTCTTCACAGCCGTTCATAAATAAGTTGCGGCTAATCTGAAATTTTTGTACTGTGTTTTCCACTTCAGCAAATATTTTACGAGATAGCGAGGATAAAGGATGAGAAGGATAAGCTGCAGGAAAGCATGAAGCAGTATGTCGGCGAGAACTTGACATGTTTGACTTTGAATGAGCTGAATCAACTCGAAGAACAGCTCGAATCCTCCGTAAACAAGGTCAGAGTAAGGAAGGTAATGAGACATGCTTGAATCATCAATGCCATTATAACTACATCTATTTTGAAGCTGCCTACTGATATAATAGAAATTGACGAAGCTGTAAAATAAAAAAAACGAAAACTCCTAAAGAAGCTTACAGAATTAGAACTTAGCTGATGACAACTTTTCTACTCCAATTAGCTCCATGAACTGCCCGATTGATACTCATCACATTACTTTAAGATTCAACACTGATGACCGACTACAAATTTTTGATCCATATCATCTTCAGCACCAGCTGTTGCACCAGCAACTGGACAATCTACGTCGCAAGGTAACATGCAGCACCAGAAGGCTCGATCGTTCATATACGTGATGCATACATATAACGCTTGCTTGTGATATTGATCAGGAGCACATCTTAGAGGATCAGAACAGTTACCTATGCCGCATCGTAAGTTACCATATATACCACATCTTAGTCTCATGGCTTCATTTTTGCTTGGAGTTTATGCATGCCGTGGTTTTGTAGCTGTCGGAGCACCAGGCAGAGCTGGAACACACGCAGGCTGCCATGGAGCACAAGGTGGGTGATGTGCCGATGCTGGAACACTTGGAAAACTACTACTCCGGGGAGCCATCAGAGAGCTTGCTGCAGCTTTCACCTCAAACGCATGCTTTCCGGCTGCAGCCAACACAGCCCAACCTGCAGGAGGACAGCCTCCAGGGCCATAACCTGCAGCTCTGGTAAGACCACATCTCCTCTATCTCAACCCTAAGTTGATGGAGTTCCAGAACAAGCTCCGGTTGGCCCTAAATTGACCAACAGGATCGAATGTGAACCAAATAATATTGGTTTTCATGTCATAAACTGAGTAGTTGTCGGACCTTCGTGTTGCTTTCTACATCATCTTTTCTTTCCAGCTCTTTTTTGATGTAATTCTACTGATAGTTATAGCAATACAATCATAACAATCATCAAAATCACTTTGGCATGTATGATGATGCTCTGGTTATCGAGTCTTTTGCTACATCAATCTATGTAAAGATTGGTTCCTGTGCAGTCAAGTTATGCGCTAATTTCTTATCTTTATAGGTCTTGACTTTCTACATGGACTTCAACAGATTCCAAACTCCAAGAGAAGAAACAAGCAGCAGGAAAAGAGAAAGGATACCGAGTCATCACTCTACTGAAAACAACTCATTTTTAGATTAATATACTTCTTCTTTTCTATATATCTGTAGGAAATGATGTTTGCAAGCATGCTTCCATGGACAGTTTAGGCATCTTTGATGTTGTTATGTGTCTGTGGCTATCTATCCATATATGTGAGATATCATCCAGTTAAATACAGTTGGGTCATATACGTGATGCCATCAAATATGATGGCATGTTGTATGGCGTTTAGTAGGCTAAATAGAGTTGTGCGTGCTAATCCAACTATTTTAATGGAACACCAGACCACCTGGCGTAGACTATGATTCAGATGATTCTGAGTTCTTGATATGATCTTCAGCAAATCATGTTCTTTGTTTTGTTCCTTTCTGCCTGACCTCTGTCGACCAGAGAAAACTTCCACTGTGCCCTCTATGGGGTCTCCTCTCTATCTCTCTTCCATGCGATCGATCTGAGGGAGTCGTCCTCTCAATCATGGTGAGGCGCCATGGTTGGCAGCTTTTTCCACATGCCTTGCGGGCCTTCTTCTGAAGATTTCCTGTACACGCCTTATGTTTGCCTCCATTTCTACACCGAGAAATGGCTTTCTTTCCAAAGGCCTTCTTGCTTTTGCTATTATCTGTTTTCGATACTAATGGATTTCTTGGATCTTGCAGTTTGTGTGACCATACAAGGCACATTTGACCTCATTTTTGTTGAGAGAAAGGGAAGTTTTTGATCGGGTAAGTGGTGCCACTCTGATTCCCGAAGCCCGGAGAAGCTCATTTGCTTTGACCACACAAGATCACACCATAGAATTCTTTCCTAAGTTGCTTGACCCATTGATTGTAGGAACAATTAAGTCTTTCAAACAATGCCAAGCTTTCTTGTATGATATTACTGAGTGCTCTGAAGGAAATCTGAAGTCCCATGATGTACAAGTGATTTCAAAGAAATGCTATTCATGAGATGATAATGCAATGATGGGATAAAAATATAATTTTATATATGAATAAATATAAGTAGGTTGTAACACATAACGAAATTAAACGAAAATCACAATCAAATATGACACTAAGATTTACGTGAAAAACCCTTCTAATGTGAAGGGTAAAAATCACAGGAAAACCTAGAGAAAATTTATTATAAAAATAATAAATATATAAATCTCAGAATACAAAAATTACGTCATTGTGCATAATATCCAAAATCTCCCCAAGTAATCATAGCAAGAATCCACTGTAAATCGGATCTAACTTGAGGTGATAACACTGCCTAGATGATTGAGAACAGTCTCAGCCTTTGTATTATTTTTGCCTTCTTATCTTTCCTTCTTCTCTTGTTTCTCTGTTATTTTCTTTTCTTTTTCTGAACCACATTGCTGTAATTTTTCAGCCAACGCAACCACCGCTGTCCATATTTTTCTTTCTTAGCCACCATATCTATGAGTTAAGGTTTAGGTTAGAGAAAAGCTCACTATAAACTAAACTAATGAGCTGTCTGTCCAACATGCAGGAAGTAACAACGAACTTAAAGTACCATAAGAGGAAGAGGACTTGATTCTAGTAATTTCGAACTCATTAGCTGCATCAGAGTAATTTTGATATGGTCGACACAACAAAATTGTTCTAAATAAGTTTGAGACTGAGAGATAATGATAACTCATTCTATCAACAAAATATGTTGATAGCTATGTAAAAATATAGAAGACTACAATCAATAACCACTGAAAACTGATGTCAACTCATTCTATCGTTGATGTTTCAGGTCCAGCGTTCTTCAGTTCTCACGTATGAAGGAGTTCTTTGCGAGTCTCACTTATTAAAAGATACAAGCTTTAAGATACAGGCACTCCATCAACCTATGAGAATCATGGAAGCACAGGAGATCAGTCAATTGACTGGTAGAAACGACTAAAGGTTCCAAATTGAAGATCAACCATCAACAAGAACCAGAACGGATCACAAGAATGGACAGATGTAAGGGGTAGGGAATCACCAAATGGCTCGTGAGGATGATCCTGGCGCCGTGCTCGATCAAGTACTTGATCGTCTGTACTGCAGCACGGATTCGAGAGTCGTCTGTGATCTTCTGGTCGTCGTCCGAGGGAACATCGAGACCTGCTCTTACGAACATCCTCTTGCCCTTGACATCGGCTTCCTTCGGACCGCCAACGCTCCTCTTCGTCGCCATTCTTCCACCCGATCGACAGAAGAAGCAGCAGATCGGTGAAGGCTTAAAAGCAGGACAAGGAAGAGTGATCGAGTCGAGCGACCGGCAAAGGCGGAGAGCGCGTCTGTTGACCGGATGACGCTAACGTTGGCTGGATTTGGACGGCTCAGATGATCTAAATGGAGGATCGGACGGTCATCATGCCATCGTTCGTGTTGGCCGCCGCGAAGCCTCGATAGAGGACGGGTGACTCATAGGCACGTGATGTACACGTGATCTTCATCGAGACCTTTTCCTGCTCTCGGACGAGATAGTTCCCCGTCGCTCCCTCCAAACCACGAAAGAATGGAAAGAGAGCGAGAGAGAGAGAGAGAGAGAGAGAGATCGACTGCGAGGAACCAATCACGAGAAAGGAATCCGTCATCGATCATTCGATTAGCCCAAGGCAAGCCTCTCTCTCTCTCCCCCTCTCTTATTGGATCCAGTTCCAGTGCTTAGTTTTTTGGGATTCACCATATACTCTCTGGTTCTTCGATCTTTTTGATTGTGATGACTAGTCGCGGTACCTCGATTCGGCCTCTCGTGGGCTCTTCTTTTATACTCTAAGATCTTTGTGAGGGATCCAATCGATAGTCAAATCGATCTTTCAGGCACAAGTTTTGGTTTTTATTGGATGAATGATTGTAAAGATCGGACCTTTCTTCTGGTTTTCCGTTTCTTCAAAGCGTTTCTTTTCGGATCTGTCACTGAAGTGATCTCTTTTAGTTCTTGATGCCAACTAGAATGCTTTGAGTGAGCAGGCGCACGCTTCTGATTGATGAAGCCTTTGCAATCGCAGGTGAGTTTGTTCGTGCGAATGTCGGATAGCTGTGTTCGGTTTAGTCTCCTTCCTCGTTACGATTGATCACCGAGAACCCTAATTTCGTTCTGTGGCCAGCGCATTGGAATGTCAGATTGACTGGTTCCAGTGGATGGTAGGCATAGTCTGGCTGACAATTTGTCTCGGCTGCTTAACCCGATAGTGAAAGTGGCAGAAACATCACTCACTGTCAATCTTGAATCAAAAAAATTCAGAAACAAATATCAGCTTTTGAATTTGAAGGAAAAGATCAAAGAAGTAGAGCTTCAACCTGGAACTGTCTTTGGAAATCTTGAAAGCTCAGAAGCTGAACAAACCTTGCTAAAAATCGAGTTTGTTCTACGAGTCAGAGAAGATGAACAAGCATTGAAGTCGACGAAAACCAGATCTTAGAAGCATTAAAAGCAAAGGGCATGAAGCATGAGGAGGTTACCGACGCAAGGGAGTCTCTTTACCGAGCTGGGGAGCTTGAAGAAAAGAGCAAAGGCACCTGAAGCAACCATCAAGCAGTCATACCCAGTGAGTTGGATTCTGTTTTCAGCTGGTTGAACTTCCATCATTTCATCCAAGCATCACAGAGATCTGATTTCATATTAATATTTCATGATTTCTATTCACTTCATACTTCAGCATATTGCTTAGACTTGCAGGATACACCTGAAAGCAGAAGGATGTGGAACTCGATGAACTGATACCGAGTCAAACCGTTGAAATGGAGAAGAAGAATTGCAGAACTCGAGAACGCAGCATCGCTTGTGGATCGTGCAAGAGTTTGTGGGGACGATGAAGACCAAGACAAGCAGGTATTAAGCGTATTGCTTAATACGCTTTATATAAACTTAATGCCAAAAGCTTTATATAAACTTTAATATTTCCTCTCACATGCAAATTAGTTTAGGCGACGTATAAACAGAATCAAAATTCATGATATTGATTAAGACATCCTAAAAGCTGACGTTGGCTTAATGTATTTATGATCCTTAAATAGAGTCCATAAGAATCATGGACGATAATTAGACACGTGACGAAATGGAGAGGAATGCTATCTATCCATGGGTGATGCTGAGTCAACATATCTCATCAGACATCACAATAAAATTACCTGAAGGTTCCTTCCGATCCGAGAGAGAGAGAGAGGATAAGAGGATCACCGAGATGGAGATTTAGGACGTAAAATATTACACTAGGCAAAGTAGCAGCCTACACAAGCTGTTGGCCAATGTCCACAATGCATGTGATCCATGGTTCAAGGTCCTAGGAAGGAACATGCATCGATGGTGGCCGTGCAATCTAAGGTACTCGCATTCCAACATCTCATGATTCACTCTCACATATTCTGAGCCAACAATTTTCTTCAATTACTTTGTCTTTATTTCAATTACTGATTTGTTTATACTATTATTATTATTATTATTATTATTATTATTATTATTATTACTAACCGTGGTGGTCTCCCCTTCTGCCTTGTTTCCCCGACCCCCGGAAACAAAGGTGTGGGTTTTTGGCCCATTACTGCTCTCTTTATAAGCCTCTGCGGGTGTGGGGTTAGGAGTCTCCTACCGTCTCCTCTCCGATTCCTCTCCTCTGCCACCGCCCCTGCAACCAGGGGGGGCCCTCTGCCGCGCGAAATGCACCAACGATGACGCCGCCCGCCTCCAATTCGGTGGGAAGCTATCCCCCGCAGTCACGGTCCCCGAAACCCCCTCCATTGCGCTGGATCCTAAGGTGAGTCCTCCCCCTTCTGTTCCTTCTGTTTCTTCTGTGAAACCCTCTAGATGTTCCGCGTGAGGGAAAGAAATCATCTAGATATCGCTCGAGGCTTCCGCGGAAAAGATTTGGTTTTGGGGGGGGACTACCTGATACTTTTGTGTCCAGTATTATGCGCGATAGGGAGGGGAAAGGTTGGACTTGAGTTTGATCGCTTCTTCTGCTGTCCTCGGGGTGTTGTGAGAGAGGAATCCATTTAAAGATGCTTTCTTTTGGGCTTGGAATACTTTGATTCCGGGATTGTTGATCTAGGTTCCTTTGGTTTCTCTTTTGCCATCATGTACAAGGTTCCATTCTCTGAAGAAAAGGTCTCTCTTTCTCTCACACACTCTCTACTTTTAATTATTGTGTTTTTGTAGAGTTCCAACTGTAGATTCTAACTCTTCAATTCCATTGATGTGTATCGGGGATTTTTCTACCATTTTCTAACCTGTTACTAGACACGATCTATAAATTATACAACTCCTTTTAGCTTAAAGTCAATGCTGTTTAGGCGAATTGTAGTCTGTCGATGTGCTTTTAGTGTGACTGTTGAGCAATGTTGTTGTAGTTCCTTTTCTGTCCACAGACTGTTTTCAGTTCTAATTTGAGTTCTTTCATCCGAGTGCAGATTAAGGAACTTACACTATGGAAACCAAGAAACATATTCTCTTTTTTCTCTTGCACTTTCTACATGAGGTTAAATTTTGCATATGTGCAGATTTTCTATTGTATGTTGCGTTTTGCTCCATTATTCTAAATTACTCACGTTTTGTTCCTTAGGGATGTCCATTTTCTTACCTGGTACTTAATTTCACGTTTTCATTTTATAATTCTGCTGAAGATAGAATGTCCTTGTCAGACATGTTTTTCTTCACTTAAATTTATTTGCCATGTCAAAATTTCATTCACCTGCTCAGTCCATAGTGTACTTGTTGTTTCTTCTAGAAAAGAGATAAAGAGGGAATAGCAATTAGGAACCCATGGTGTCATATTTGTATTTTCATTAATGTTTTTGATGTACAATATGATACTTATGAATCTATCATTCCTTATGATTTAATCCATCAATTCCTTGCTGTTGTCGTTGGAACAAGGAGATTTTTATGTGACCTACATGCTTTCTTAGCTCACAATTGCGTTTTTAGTGCCCAACCTGTTTCTCATGTGTCCATATTAGATGTCACAATTTGATTTTTTGTAGAAAAAAAGCTTTTTTATATCTGATCCTTCTTATGTGTAAAATTCTTCTCTTAACTCTGTTGATTCCATTCAGGATAATTTTTCCTTTTTTTTAATCATTTATTACAACCATGCCACTTTTTTTGAATTGGGCATTTTTAAAGGTTGCAATGTGTTGTTTGAATATCCTGTCCAGAGATTACAATAATGGGGTCTTATTTTCCGGTTGTCAGGATTTGCTCTTTGCGACCATTAGCCTATTCATTCTCAATGGTTCAGAGATCAGTTTGATGTGGGCCTAGCAAACAGCTTTCCAAGAAACCATTTTGTGTGATGAGGCTTTCAGACAATCAGGGCAATCGCTTGGGATCAACACAATCAGAGGAGTCAGCCTTGGACACACACAGAAATTTATGCAGTCATTTGCCTTATAATCGATCTCCTCTCCAACTAATTGCATCAGCTGGTCAGCACCCTGAAAATAGTGCCGCATACTTTTTGTGGCCTACCTCTACCCTAATGCATGGTGCTTCTGAAGGACGATCTAAGTACTTCGAGAACCTTCAGAAAGGAGTACTGCCAGGACATCTTGGCCATCTGCCAACTGGACAGCAAGCAAAAACACTTCTTGATCTGATGATTATAAGAGCATTCCACAGCAAGATCCTGCGTCGTTTCAGTCTTGGTACAGCTATAGGCCATCGAATCAGAAGGGGAACATTGACTAACATTCCAGCAATTCTAGTTTTTGTTGCAAGAAAAGTTCACAGGAAATGGCTTGGCCACAACCAGTGTCTCCCATCCGCCCTTGAGGTAAATAATGGTTTCTTTTCTAGCAGCTTGGTTTTATAATATCAAGGATATAGATTGTTACATGCAAGTTGGGCCCTGCAATGCTGCACTCTTAGGCTTAAATAATTTTGTCAAAAATATTAGTAAGCATAAATTAGGTCCTAGAGAAAGAAGCTAAACCATAAGGTTGACAATCTTGGTTACTGCCTTTAAAAAAGATGCAATGGACTTGTCTAATTCACAATAAAATGTAATCAATAGGTCCAAGCTCTCTGAAAAGAAGAAGATTAGTTACAAGAGAATGGCTTATGCATAGTGCTGCATAAGCTCTATTGAATTAGAGAGATCTAAGCGATAAAAGATCTATGCCATCAAACTATTAGTCGTTAGCTTATGCATGAGGCTTAGCTGTGAAATCAATCAATAAGAGCTTGACTCAAAAGGAAGCGAAAACATAAAAGGTTGGCTCCTGAATTTGAAGCCAAACAATAAAAATTGCATCATTCATGAAAAGGCAGGCTATTTTTAGTAGAAGGGGAGGTCAAACCATGAGTGGTTGGCTCATGAATAAGAAGTCAAGCCACTGAGCTGAGGCATGAAACTAGACCATGAGATTGAATTATGCAAAAAAGCCAAGCAATATGAGGTTGCCTTATGAACTGTGCTTGTTCATCAAGCCAAATCCACAAGTGGGTGGCTTAAGCTAAGTCATAAGACGTTGGCATAAATAAAGCCATCAAACCAAGACCCAAGTGGTAGGCTTATGCATAAAAAAGCT